CCCCCCCCCCCCCGCAGGCGATAGATAGCAACGGATCCCTTACTGAAAAGGAGCGAAAAGTATAACCTACAGTCAGTTTTCACTTTAGCACTCTCAACCTTGTTTTTAGGTTTTTGACTGCTAAGAGGTCCAAAGAGATTCCTTTTGCATTTCAGAGTAATTGTTTTTAAAACATTTCTTCCAGGAATACCTTTATATTGTTGTTTATTTGGGAGAAATGGTTGCAGAAAAACAGGAAACGTACGTGTTGTGGTTATGTACCTAGACCATCTGTATCAACCTGTTAATATCTGACCTCACCTAAGAAATTCGACTACAAAGAAACTAAATTGATGTTTGGTTTTTTTGTTTATTTATTTTTATACAGAAAGGAAATCCCGAGCGAGCCCTCAATCTTACCTTGGAAATACTGCAATTTGGTAAGTCTTGAACAATTTTGGAGCTCACGAGTGAAATTTTTTATTACTATTTTCATTTTTAAATCTTTCACGCATTTTCGCTTAGTTCCTCATAACAAACAGGCGAAAGAAAATGTCATGCACTACAGGGAGATGGTGGAACAAGGAACACGTGATACACATGACCAAATAAAGGCAAAAGAGGAAGAAATCAACACGAAGACTTTCAAAACTGGGAAGTACGCGACTTTGTGCAGGGGTGATACAAGTCAGGTACCTGTCATTTTGGGTTTATGTCGCAGAATTGGAAAGTTTTTTTTAGACACACTCTGAATTCACTCTATATCTCTCTTCATCACATCTAAGCTGCCGGGTCAACATCACTGAGGCTATACGTGATGGGAAGTAGGCCAGTAGGAATATTTTTCGCCATAATTTTTTTTAAACGTAAGGCGGTTTCTTTGGGAAAACAAATCTCCTCTTAGATGTTAAACACCTTTGCTTGAACGTCTCTAGGCACTCCTCCTTAGATTGTGTCGTTTCTTAACTTAGAGTACTCCTCAAGGAGATCTTCAATGCTGGTATCACGGAAAGAAGAGTCCATTACTCGTACTTAGACCAATCAAAGTGGAAATGGTTTGGCGCAAGCCTGAGTTGTTAATCTTCAGAAATCTTTTAAGTACGAAAGAAGCTGAAAGAATCAAAGAGATAGCCACACCCAAGGTACGTTACATAGGAGTAGTTCTATTGCTACATCATTCTTTTTATACAATATTATACCGGTTTATCGCCGGATTGAGATGTGAAAATCTGATAAAAGTAATAAATTTGAATGCAGATAAATCAATACAGCCTTTGATTGATACAAATACACAGTTGCAAACTACTCCAAATGATCGGGTGAAGCAACACAGTCATCTCCCCTTTATACATAGGTGACTCACAAATTACTTGTTTCTCTTAAATTTGCAGCTTGAAAGAGCTACTGTGTTTAACAGAAAAACAGGAAAGCTAGAAAACGCGGATTATAGAGTAAGCAAAAGGTAGCCATTTCTGAATGAGGAAATGACTTGCATTACGTAGTCTGATCTTTGTCACACAACGACAATGATCATCAATAAGAATCATTTAAATATCGGATGCTAAATCGACCGTTATCCATTTAAAAGGCTTCTGTGCGCTCAGGTTAAGTTCTTAGATTCGAGAGGTATGATTTAACAGGGAAAACCTCATTGCTCATCAAACAAATATGAACAATTCATGATCTCTTGTGATCACTTATTGAAGCCGATCTGGAAGTCTCTCAGGCAGAAAGAACTAGCGGAGTTATATAAAGTCAGGAAGCGATGGGCTCCTGATAAAGTCCAATGTTTTTTGTAATAACAGTGCTTGGCTGGAAAGTTGGGACGATGAAGTCGTTGCAACAGTTAATAGAAGAATTGGTGCCGCAACAGGTCTGGAAATGGACACAGCGGAACCATTACAGGTATCAACCCCAGTGTTATGTGAGAGATACGAACCCCCTGAAAACTGTTCGCAAGATAAAATTAGGTGTCTAATTAGTAGGGATATCCCGAGAAACTCGACGAAAAATATTAATTTCCAATTTCTCTGGTGATTAACTTGATATATATATTTGAAGATTGGTACTTAGGTTTGTGTTGTATTGTACTTAGGTTTGTGTTAGTATTGTACTTAGGTTTGTGTTAGTATTGTACTTAGGTTTGTGTTAGTATTGTACTGAGGTTTGTGTTAGTATTTAAGGATGAACAGGGAACACTGAAGGGCGCAAAGGCTCAATTGTTTGTTAAACCCGGAGCTGTACCCAAATTTCATAAGTCTAGACCAGTGCCACATGCAATTAAGGGGGTTATTGAGTAAGAGCTTGATCGACTAGAGAATATGGGAGTGTTAGAGAAAGTTCGTTTCTCTAACTGGGCAGCGCCCA